ATCCTTCTTGATGACGACGACAACCCCATAACTCCTACAGATGACCCCAAGACCAACACCCCTGGGGTAGTTGTCCCACCAAAACCTCTTGCACCACGACCACGCGTGTCTGACCCTCCCATTCACCCTGTGACCGCTCCCTCAGATGCATCCCCTCCCACTACCACACCTGCTCCTACGCTCGCACTCATACCAACACAACCTAGACGATCTGCTCGCCTCGCCCTTCTGGGAACGGGGGCGCCGCCCACAGACACAACTGCCCTGTTGACCACCCTTCCTGATTCACAGATACCACGCAGCTATTGGGAAGCTATGACGAGGCCTGACCTTTGGCAACCCGCTATGGATACGGAATGGGGTGTCTTGAAGGAGAGAGACGTCTTTGAGCTTGTGGAAGCACCCCCAGATGCTCACGTCATTGACTCAATGTGGGTTTACGCAAATAAGTACGACGCTGACGGTGATATTATTAGACGGAAGGCACGCTTAGTCGCAAAAGGGTACACTCAGATCCCTGGACTAGACTACGACCAGACTTATGCATCCGTCGTGCGCCTGGAGTCTTTTCGTATGGTTGCCGCCATCGCCGCTGCCATGGATCTCCACATTTGGCAGGTCGATATCGTCGCTGCGTACTTATACAGCAACAACAAATTCACAACATACATGCGCCAGCCACCTGGTTTTGTTGCACGGGGGGAGGAAGGCAAGGTTCTACGGGTCGTCAAAACCCTATATGGTATGATGCAAGGGGGATATGACTTCCAAGTTGAGATGTCGAGCGCGTATGAGTCGATGGGATATTACAAGTCACTGGCCGACCCATGCGTCCATTCCCGTGTTATCGACAACGAATTCGCCATCACGAGCACATATACTGACGACATATTCGGTGCATCCTCGACGAAGGAAGGGGCAAAGAAGGCGAAGGAGGAGATAGAAGCGTGTTTTGAGATGAAGGACGTTGGGGAGCTTGGATACATCCTGGGGATTCGTATTGAAAAGGATGAACACACGGGTGCGATTTCCCTCTCTCAAGAGGCTTACCTCCGACGCGTCCTAGAACGCTTCGGCATGCTACAATGCAACGCAAAGTCCACCCCACTTCCTTCAGGCATCGCTCTCTCCGAATCCGAATCACCAAGAACCGAGGATGATCGTCAATACATGAAAGACAAACCCTATCGCGAAGCCCTCGGCTCCTGCATGTGGGCTCAAGTTGCCACCCGCCCTGACATCTCTTTCGCTCTCAGTGTCCTCTCACGTTTCCAAGCAAACCCCGGCCCAGCACACTGGAAAGCGATGCTACACCTACTCGCCTATCTTAAGGGCACTATCAACTACAAAATCACGTACCACAGAGGAGGTAGTCTCGACCCAATTGGCTTCGTCGACGCCGATTACGCCGGGGACACCGACACGCGACGATCTACTTCAGGCTACTTATTCACCATAGCCGGCGGACCTGTGTCTTGGAGCTCAAAGCGCCAAGCAACCGTCGCCTTATCTACCACCGAGGCGGAATACATGGCACTCACGCGCGCCGCCCAACAGGCGCTTTGGATGTATTCATTTATGTCTGAAGTAGGCCTTAAACGTGAATTCCCAGCAATGCTCCATGGGGATAATGCTGCTTCGATTGCCCTCACTCTCAACACGAAGGGACACGCACGCGCAAAGCACATCGACATCCGACACCACTATATTAGGGAACGCGTAGCAGAGGGGGAGATCGGCCTAGTTCAAATCCCTTCAGAAGAAAACCTCGCCGACATCTTTACTAAATCGCTCCCCCGCGTCACACACCAAAAACTCATCCGGGCACTCAAGCTGGACTTGTAGAGGTCCCTCGTCGTCTAGGGGAGTGTTGAAGAAGACCCCTCGTGACCTCATCTATTTACGCGTACATCTTGTTTGCACCTCCTCGATCAATTCAGTAAAACTTCCACCGCTTACACTTATATTCCACCGCTTATACTTACACCCAACTTACATCCGTTATTCCCGACCGTCCTATAAGTACGAGGACTTTATTTTCCCTTCACCTCAGTCATCACCACATCCGTGTCTGACTGAGGTGAGTCTTTTCTTACTTACATTTAGATACTTAACGCTAACGCTACTTGTACTTAGATCCTCGTACGTTAACAGGTAGCTAAGACAATAGAGTCATCACCACATCCGTGTCTGACTGAGATCCTCGTACGTTAACACTCCGCAGCTGGACGAGCACGAGCGAGGCCGAGAAGAGATTGTTAACAGGACACTCGACACCCTTATCGATCGCGAACATGTCATAGAGCGACGGGAAATGAAAAAAGAAGAGAAGCAGTCACATGTTCCAGTTCCTCGACTTGGGAAGGGAGATCGGCTAGACGAGACGTAGGTAGTACTTCAGGTTTTTTGTCAAGCCTGTCGACGGTAGCTCGATCAACAAATTGAAGGAGAGCCAACGAGAGGGGAGAGCTAAGCGCACGTTGTATGTGGTGACAAGAAAGCGGGGATCTCAAGACTACATAACCCTAACCCTAAGTTACGTAATAACAACTAGCTTTCTTCCACCATCACCTAGACTTGCACAAACACCCCGTCTCAATAACGCGGAAGACAAGGATTGGTCGCTACGACTGTAATGCCGGAACTGGCAAGTTCTCCTCAGGATCCCGCGGGCAAGATGGTGACGGCAAGGAGATTGCAGAAGGCGGCGAGCATGGCGAGGTGGGGAGTAAAGGCGAGCATCATGCCAGGTTGACGTGAACGATAGTACTAATGGGTTCAGAAGAAAAAAAGTGTAGAGAGGCTGGCGAGGAAGTGGTCCTTGGATGAATTGGAATGAACTATGTTGGAAAAGAGTTCAGGTACTTGTCAAGCATCGATTGGTGCCCTACTTACAAGCTTAAAGGGCAAAACATCTTATCTCGGCTTGATCTCGGCGAAACTGTCCTCTTATAGTGCCTTTTAGGCCGAGCGTTTCATTCAAGTCTTTATAGCCCTGCAAGGCACATAACATTTGGTTCTTCCGACATTCTCCACTTATATTTTGCGACCGATGAGCACCTCCAAGTTATCTATGCGTCGTAGCTTTTTTGCATGCCTGTGCAGTCGTTCTCGGTGGCACGCAACGGAACAAAACAATTCCCTTGGTTGTTACGCGTGTAACGTTCCTCCAAAATTTGGAATGGATCAAAGCAAGTGCGCCCGAATTTCGAACTCTATCCGTCCACATTCTTCATTTTCTTCAACCATATTTCCATAGCAATTCCATAGTTATGGATTGCTCCGATCAATAGGCGGCCCCCTCAACCATCACAATCCTATTTGCTCAGACGTGCCCACTGGCATTTAAAAAGCACGGAAAAATTCAACGGGGCCTCACTATATTTCCTCAAGATGCTCAAGCTCACCCTAGCTCTAAATCTCATCCTCGCCACTGCGTACCTCTTCCCGCACGTCTCAGCAGCCTCGCGTATTCGGCCGTCTGCTGGGTCGGTGATCGTTCGGGCGGGTACAACAACTCCAGGAGAGTTCCAGACCGTCTCTGGCGCTGTGAAATCTCTCCCGAATGACAATTCCCCGACAACTATCTTCATATATCCTGGAACGTACACGGAGCAAGTTGTTATAACCCGACCTGGTCCGCTCACGGTACACCATTTATCTTTGTAGCTTCTTGTGATACTACTGATACTAACGGCAAAACAAGATCTTCGGCTACACAAAAAACACAAAATCCTACAAATCCAACACCGTAACCATCCAATACGGCTTATCCCGCCATACATCANGA